GGGTACACACCTTATCGCTTATATGATAGTGAAGCTCTGTTTACATCTGATGAGGTCGTTGCATGTAAATCATCCATGGCACGGAACAGTCTAGCCTCACAGGGTCGTAGGAAATGTTAAATTCTACAGCTCTGTCTGCATTCTGCGCTTTAATTTGATGACTTCAACTTTATTTTACAATTTAATATTGGGATTTAAGAGGATTTGGACTTTACTAGCAGCATTGTCTTTGCATATGACAGATTAGCAGAGGGGGGAGCAGAGAGACTGTTATCATGGTTGACATGACTGTTTACTATGTAGGAACCCCTCTCTCTGACCTCACACAATCATATTTATTACCTCAGCTCCTATACAAATAATACTGACACTGACAAGGTAGGGATTTTCCCTTGGAAATTAATCTCAATCAGCACAGGAACATTTTCATGGAAAATTATTTAGTTGTTGTGTTGGCAAAACTGCGCACAGTCCCATGCTCTCTGCCCTGACTTTCCAAAAGCATAAAATGTCTTCATGTACCTCAAAGTACATTTTCCATGTTTAAAACAAACCAAAACATTGGAGAATAATCAATGGAGAAATGCTAATTGAAATAGAGCACGTATCTAAAGAAGTTTTGGGTTGACAGCTGTTATACATTGTAGGCAGAAGCCTTATAGATATTATAGAAATAGTGCTAGAATCACTAAACTTTATTAAACCGTACAATGATTATTGGGATACAGTGACTTCCCAAATTGTGCCTGCATGCTATGTAAATCCAGTAAATTTGACTTCCCATGGGCATGATTACAATAATAACAATGGTTTCAGAGCCTAAAAAATTGCAGCCTTTTGTGCGATAAGCAGCCGTTCTCATCACGGCTGAACTCAATGTCCTTGGATTACCATTAGCTGCCCACTTTTCACTCGTCCTTTTTTTTTCCTTCTTGCCCTTACTTGCCCTTCTTGCCCTTCTTGCCTCTCCTTCCACTCCCACTCCCCTTCCTTTTGGAGTCTTTTAATTAAATGGCCTCAGATTCTTCTCATCCTTTGGGATGGTTTCCTAACACTCTCTTAGCTGTGCCCTCCCATCACCCACTCCTTTCTTTCTCATTCCATCTCAATCTACAAATTCAGACAGGATCTAGCCCTGGATTTCCAATACTCTTACCTTTCTGTTGTGTCTAAAGTACCTGTTTTGCATAACAAATAATAACACCTACTAAATAAATAATGAAGCCTAATGCGGGTACTTTGTTATGCAACTAGCACAACTATTGTCAAAACCCCATTGATCATCCTGCTTAAGGAAAGAATAATTTACATTTCAATGACACAAAATTAGTTGCTTTTTCACTTTGTAAGGCACTTAAAGCGAAGTAGGGATATGGACACTGTATCTGAACACGTACTGCCTGACTTCCTCCTCTAACGCCCTGCACGTCTCCAGCTGACACACAAGAGCGCTGGAGGTGAAGTAAATACAAACACAACAGAAGACTGACTTAGATCGAAGGAAGATGCTGCCAGAACAAAAGGCTCTGAACTGCTCATAAGTAAACTTAAAGTAGAAGTTATAAAGTTTCCAGCCATATATGCCTTGAATTCCTAGAACAATATTCCAACAGAAATGGAGAGGGACTAGATATCATTAAACAAACTTTGATCATTTTTGAAAGGGATTAGATTATGTATGGTAGCAGAGGACCAGATTTGATGGCCCAAGATGTCATTTCTATAGTCTGCGTCTCAGGCTATAGACACTTCTATTCCTGTGTCTCAAATAAAAAGGAAGATTTTGTTCTTAGCAAAAAAGTGGGAAATGCTGCTGAAGACCTATTTGTACAAATAAAGTTGTTCTTGGCTGACAGGATCAAAAAAATATTGGTAGGTGGTTACTTCTGGGTGTCTATACCAACAGGATGGTTGCATAGCCAAGACACGTGTCTGCGTACCTGCTCTCCTTGCGGGTAATGGCAATGCCTGTCCTTAATTGCTAGGGACCAATCACTCCATTTATCCATTGAACTTGCACTGGAGCAGTTAAATGTTAGGTGTGAAATGATGCAGATGTGGGAACCCTTTCTAAATTGTACAAAAAAGCATGTTTTCCTGGAACATGCTCCCAGGGATGAAGGTCTTTTGCCAATTGCATTGCAAAATATGGCTTAGAGCAGAGATGTCATCATGCCAGGAGGAAAGCGACACCATACTAAACACACACTGCAGGAAAATTAAGATAGAAAATGACAGAGGAGAAAGAAGAGATGAAATACGGCTCTTCATGGAAAGAAAACAGGTGGTTACAGAATTTAACTGTTACATGAAATCATACTTGAATTTAATTTCGTAGATTTGCTTGAGCAATAATTGGAAAATCATTTGCTGGCAGCTCCTGTGCTGGCATTGTGTATCTGCAGACAATGATTGCATTACAATGAGAAGTGGGATGCCTGTAATGAGAAATCCACCACCTCGCTCCGTGCCAGCTCCTGTGTTGTTAAGCAGTACATGAAGCAAAGCAAAGCACTGGAGGGAGCGAGAACACGCTCATAAACAGCAGTACGTGAAACTCCAGCCTACATCTTACATTTTGCCAGGACAGAGAAGGGTCCACATCTCCTCTAAGCTTGACTTCAGCCCATTCCCATCTGACTGAAATAAAGCTGCAGAACCCGACAAATATTAGAAAGGAATTCCAGGGCTCCTCAAAAATAAGGGAAAAAGCAGACAGTTTGACTGTTCTATTTAACAGGACAAAGCCTGTAGACTGTGAAAATTACCAGAATTGACATTCAAAATGATGAGTCAGGTCCCTGAAAAAATAATGAGATAGACTACAAAATGAAAAGCCCTTTAAAAGAAGAATGTCACTGGGAATTCTTTTTTTTTTGGCCCTCAGACATGCGAACAGTGCATGTGCCCTTCTTTTGGGCACAGATCACCCAAGAGAGGGGGCTGGGAGGAATATAAGGAGGTTTTAGATTCTCCTCCCTGTTTCAGTGCCACTAGCCTGAATGGCATTTGCTCCTGTGTCATGCGATGCTGTCATGGTTGCTGTGCAACTCCATCTCCCCTGCCAGTTTAATGGCGAACTTTGTCTGCTTGTGCTTAGATACTATTTTAATGTTATTTCAGCAGCTATGAGGATCAGGAACTTAATCTTCCAAAGAAAAATGTACCACTAAATATATTTTTGCCTTTATTGTCAGCTTGGAGCTTTAATAAGAATACCAGAAATCTTGCAATTTATGATAGTATCTTTAGAATTGGTAATACTGAAATAAAAATCCCACTGGTCTCACTAAACCCAACATTGTGAGCTTTGCACAGGTATAAGGCTTTTCATAAAAATGGCACAGAGTCAATCTTAGCAGTGACTATGCATTTACTACTTGTGTTCTGGTATTCGCAGCGTAGATTGTGAAGTCTTCTGTCCCAACAGCTGAGGTGCAGATGGATGTAGCGTGAAAGAAAGAAGGGATAAGAATAGAAATAAAATGTTATTTTTGATACCATGCCCACTCATGGTGAGGCATTTGTTGCTTTTCATGCTTCTGAGGAGATAATCATCCTTTTTTTGGAGATGAAAGAGATTTGTAGCCTTATCTCCAGGATGATTTAAATTTCCAACAGTATTTCTATACTTAAGAAGACCAACCCTAACTATCGTTAGAAAAAACTCTATGAGGAGGCTGTTGTTCTGTAGCCCACTCACAAACTGCCACTCTTGCAGGATAATTAATGAGAAAGATATTTCCCTGTCATCAGATACCTCACATGGTGATCCACATGGCCTTTCTCTTCTGGGATCAGTGATCTCCTCCAGGGCGAGAGTTATCGCTTAGGTCAAGGGCAGTTTTGGGTGAGTTGCAACACATCAGGCTGAGGAGTGATAGCTGCTTGTGAAGAAAAAGTGGGTTGGAATACAGTTCACTGGTTGCTGCAGATTAAGTAATACCTCCAATCCCAGTTAAAATTAGATATTCCCTTAAATTTATCAAAAAAATTTCTTAGATTATGTATGCGTAAACCCAGTTCCCTAAAGGTTTAATACAATACTAGCAGTTCTTTTTTTCAGTTCTGTGTTGCAGACCATTCACAAGCAGTCCGTCTGTGTAGTATTCTGAAGCGTTTTCGTCACATTGTAAGATTATCAGAGAAGTGGTATGATGGTGATGAGCATCAGCATTGCAAACCTCCAAGAGAAAGAATCAGATTGACGATCATCTTGACAATAATCTGTTTATAAACATTTTACTCCTTTTGAATTTTTTTTTGCATTAAAGGACCTTACCTTCCACTGATGGTGCTGCTTTGGGGATTAGGTGTCAAAGAGCGGACCGGTCTCAAGGTTTAATACCCCAAAGAGAGGTGAAGGATTTGGCAGGAACTGGGCAACAGGAAAGGCATGGGGAAAGGGTATGGGGACAGACTTGAATGCAAAAGAAAGAGGCTGGGCTCTGGGCCATGTAGGTGTCTCTGGGAGAGATGCAGGGTAGATGGGCAGACGTAAGAGGAGATGGGGAAATGATGTCCTGAGCCAGAGAAAGGACAGGACAAGGGCAGGAATGGGCGAAGGATGAATAGGACGCATGGTATCTCAGCCCCACTCCTGAGTTCGGGACTTGATTGCACTGCACATAAATACCTCTGAGCTCCCTCGCTGCCCATGTGTGCCACCCCCTCTGCTGGCTTTTCCTCGGAGGATGATGGTCAATGACAGCAGCTACGTTTAGGGCAGTGGTAGTGCCTGTGCTGAGCTCTGCTGCTGGTCCATCTGAGGGCATGTCCGCTCCCACCTGGAGAAAACACTGGTGTTGCAAAACAATGTGTTCAGGTGTTAAAGATCACCAGCATGAGGGTTTCTGATTAATAACATGTTGTCAGGCTATTTATTTTCTTCCCATGGGATACCTTATTCTGACTTCGGTGACAAAGGAGGCCACAGCCTGCAGGACTTTTGCTTTCCTGCCTGCAGAATTGGGAAATACAGACCTCAGAATGATTCGGAAATGAAAGATGTTGAGCTGGGGTGGGAAGAGAGAGAGACCCACAGCCCAAGTCTGAGTGATTTCTCAGGACATTCTGGTGAAATCGGAGGATGAAAGAGGGGCGGTTGAATGAAATGCTGAGTGAAGAAATCCAGGCAGTGCCAGCTGCACTTTGAAGGCATTTAAAGTATCAGTGGGTGCTGCTTAGAAGGACTTACCGAGTGTATGAGGGAATCAGGAAGAGGATCCAAAGTTTAAGACAGGCAATGCTGCTCTGGAGCACTTGGATTACAGCTCTGCCTCTGTCACAGTGTTGCTCAGTAATATTATTTATGTTTTTTTTTAAATAATTCTTTTCACAGTGCCAGCTAATTGTTCATTCTTTGTTTTCTGGCTCTGATTCTGCATTTTGTTCTGTTCATATTCTATTTGCACTATTCCTGGGCTTGATTCTTCCTTGACTGCGGGATGGGTGAGGGAGCGGGGCGGGAAAGAGGAGACCAACACTGCCTCTCCTCCGGGCCGTCTTGGTGGCCCTGGCGTTGTGCCTGAAGTGCTGGGGCACTGGAGACGTGACTTTCTCCTGCTCCCTCCTGATCCCTGTCTGCTCAGCTGGAAAATACAAGGTGCCCAACCTCAGAGCTCTCCCTGAGCGAGATGTGAGACCTCAACCTGGCTAACAGGAGTAAAGGGTGCTCAGGAAACTGAAGGCAAAATCAAGTCCTTGGTCAGCTGCTTCTTTGAGCTTTACAGGTTGTTCAGGAAACACTTCATATCAATGTTTTATGGTGCTATGCCATCAAATCTGTTGTTTATGCATCTCAAATGCCTTGGTGGTGGGGTGTCTGAGAAGTAAAATAATTGTTCTATAGCAGTTTATTCTGTTTTATTAATGATTAAAATATTCATCAATGTAATTGCCAGTTAAATTTGCACTTTGCACCAAATCTCCAGAGACCCTTCTTGAATTTGCCAAGTATGAGACATTCATTTTTCTGAAACATTTCCTGTTAATGATGCTATTACATAGGCAATGTGGGTAGCTATATCTGCCTTTCTGTTTCTGATCCTGTTTCCTTAATGTAAATATACAAGGGTGACATGGCACCTGGGTTTGAAAACACTTGCAGGACCATATTTTTACTGAATAAGAGTCAACCACTATAAATTGACCCACCACCATGGACTTCAGTGGAGCTACTTTGGACTGCAGCAGCTGAACATTTAGCAGGTGGTAATCTTGTTGAAAATCAATGAATCTCTGGACAATGCCAAGCAATAAGTGTTGGGTTCAACACTTGCACTGCTCCTAGTAGAAGGAATTACAGAGGCAAAGACGTTACCTATGAATGGCAACTCTGATGAGATGAACAACAAGTAGGGGAAAAGCTATAAAGGCATGATCTCTTGAGCTAGCCTCATCAATACAGTGAATAGAAATTATTTTCCATTTGTCAGGGTGAGCAGAGAATAATCTAGTCTTCCTGAAAGACATCATTGGTTAGGAAAAGAAAGCAAAGATATCAACCTTTGTGCGAACCTACATAATGAGCATTTTCTCAACTTACCTCCAGAAAAAAACCCAAACATTTATATATCTACCTAGTAGCAGTGGAGATAAATAAATTTTTCCCAGTGAGGCTTGAAAGCTGCAACTGGATGTATTCGCTTTCTCATGCGTTTGATGTTAGACTAATAAAAGACCTTCCTGCCCATCTATGTAGTTAAAACCCCAAATTCTTTGAGATTTTGGAGGAGTAGAAAGGGATGAAGGGAGAAGGAAACAAAGTCAGTGTGCAGTCCACATCCGACAGTCAATAAAATCTGAGTTGTGGATAAGCCATGCCTACTTCAATGAGTACAAAGAAATGACATATTTAGAAAGGCGGCATTTGCGTAGAGGCATGTTTGAAATGAACTTGAAACATCTAAGCCATATTTAGAAGATGACTGAAAAGAAAGAAGAGAGTTTGATATAGCAACATTTCAGAAAAAAAGGCAGAAGCAGTCTTTTGTTAATACTGGGGATTAGCAATTTAATTAGCTCAATCATTAATGCAGGAAATTACCTAGTAAAAATGAGACTAGTTAACATTTGCAGGGCACTTAAAATATTTAAATGAGTAAATGGAAGATTTTCAATGACATTTCTATGTCTACTAGGTATACTTTTTTCTCTAGGTGATGAATATTTTTAATGCTTATGCTATTTGCTCCCAAACGTTAAATGGGAGTTTATTTACTGTGGCGATGTTGAGAGGACTACTAGGGGCTTTTCTTCATCTCAGTGCACTGCAGTGCCACAGACAACTGATCTCTAAGTTCCTGATATTATCATCTTGTACACTGAAGACTGTGTCAAGAGGAAAATAAGGTGACTTTCTCTAGGTAGCCCACAAATAGGCAAAAGCAGTGATGTTGAATGTGATTTTTGTTCAGGTCGAGACTATTTTGGTCTCAGTTACCTAAATATCATCTTCTCGTAGTGATTTGATGGCAGGACAGGAGAATGTTGTGGTTCAACCCCAGCCAGCAACTAAGCACCACGCAGCTGCTCACTCACTCCTCCCCCACGGTCCTTCAATGGGTGGGGAGGAGAGTTGGAAAAAAGACAAAACCCATGGGTTGAAATAAGAACAGTTTAAGAATTGAAACAAAGCAAAATAAAATAATAATAATGGTAATGAAAAAGGAGATAACAAAGAGAGTGAGAGGAATAAAACCCCAGAAGGACAAGTGATGCACCTCACAGTTGCTCACCACCCGCTGACCGATGCCCAGCCCATCCCCGAGCAGTGATCATCCCCTCCCGGCCAACTCCCCAGTGTCTATACTGGCCATGCCGTTCTATGGTATGGAATATCCCTTTGGCTGGTTGGGGTCAGCTGTCCTGGCTGTGCTCCCTCCCAGCTCCTTGTGCCCCCCCTCGCTGGCAGAGCACGGGGAACCGAAAAGTCCTGGGCTGAGGGTAAGCACTGCTCAGCAACAACTCAACCATCAGTGTGTCATCAACATTGTTCTCATGCTAAATCCAAAACACAGCACTGTACCAGCTACTGGGAAGAAAATTAACTCTATCCTAGCTGAAACCAGGACACAGGGCTAGAAGGCCCAGTCAGACCATTGCCAAAGATTCACATGGTGAAGATATAGACTGGAAGAACTTGAATCAGCTGTATGTGGTGAGAAGCACAAAATCACCATGGGAGACAGAACTTCGTGAAGTATTTCTCCATAGAGATCACATTTGTCTGTGGGACAGCATACTTTCAAGGTTGGCAGCTGGCCTGTGGATTCACTGACATAATTAAAAACATTATTCTCATTGTACTGTGTTAATGTTTCAGTGTACCTTCAAATCAGACAATCTAGTTCTCGTCCTTGACAGTAAATGGGAGCAGAAGTCTTTATTTATTTGCTTTCTTTGTGTCAAAGTGGGTTTTGTGCTGAAGGTAATCTGAAATAAAAATGTACTCTTTTTATACAATTTAAACCAAAATCTTAGCAATTCTTCTTTTTTTCAAAGCAGCTATTTGTTTGTAATTATGTGATCCTGGTATCTTGTTTTGTTAAAAATGATTTCTTCTCCCCACACAAAAAAAGAATAGAAATAAAGCAGAAGAGAAGTCTTGAAACAGATTTCAATGTAATGTGAAAAGGCAAAATGAACTTAAAAAAAAAAAAAAACAAAAAAGAAAACAAAGAAAAAAACATTAAGAATATTCCCATCCAAGTAAAATTATGCTTTATCTGGGACAATAACAACTGAAAAATTAAAAGAGAAACTTAGTTTGTATGATAATGTTCCTTTAGGCTTACTTTCTTCTGTCTGCACTCTTTATCTTTTAATACTATGTGATTCTAGCTTTTACTGTATAATGTTTTTTTCTTTCTTTTAATGGCTAAGCAGTGAGAAAGAAGGGTTGGAAATGGGCCTCACACACAACAAAAGCACTCTCTGTTGAAAAAAAACCCGTTGATGTTGTTTCCTTCCTTTGCTTTTCCAAACCAAAGCTTAAAGATGTGTGATGTGTGCCCCATGATCAGTCATTTCAGCTTTGCATTGTTTGGATTCTGTACTATACATAAAACATTCACGGGGACATTACTGGAGAGCTTTTCTCGGTATCTTGATGTTGTCTTCTCTGTCTCTGTTCTGCTCTGCCAACGCAGCCGGCGAGCGCCCGGTTTGCTCACACGCTCTGTCTTCACAGCTCTTGTGTCCTTAATAACTCAGAGGGGAGAGTGAGCCCAGCCTCTGAGGGGTTAAAATTCAGTCTTGATCCTTTAAACTCTAAATATGGGGCTTTGGATAAAACCTGTAGATTTCTAACAATAGCTTCTTTTATTAATTTTTTCCCTTCCCTCCAATTTTAGGCTTACTTTAACCTTATCCTGTCCCATGGACTTGAAGAATTTTCCTATGGATGTACAGACATGTACAATGCAGCTAGAGAGCTGTAAGTGTCCAATTGCTTTATTTATCAAAGAACAAGATTTTACTCTAACATTTGCTCATTAAATAGTAGCTACATCCTCGTATTTATATGGTGAGACTCAATATTCCTGTTTTGTGAGGGAAAATCACAGAGGAACAGTACTTTAATTGTCCATCGCTGTACCATGTGGGTCCTCTGTCCCTGTGCTGTTCCTGCTCGCTTCCCTTTCCCTCTCCTGGGACCCATTAGGGCTGCATCACTTCCAGGGATAATCACAGTGATACTGTGCAGGAGAAATTATTAAATCTCAGGAAAGTAAGAGCAATTAGTACACAGCCAGGTATTAGCTATGTCTGATAGAGACATGCTATGGGCTTTTGAAAAATGGAAGCAATATACCTGATGAAGCAGAGGTCCTTTTAGTGTACTTATGCTGGTGAGCTAAACACGGCCAAGGCATGGACTTGGGTACCAGCACACACCCATCCGTACCAGGTAGCTGTCAGCACCGTTTTGACTTGTACCAGGTAACAATCAGACAAAACCAGGAGTGGCTCAGATAATGGCATGCGCCAGCCATCATTCCCGATGGTCCGTAGGCACCAGGACACCTTGGGTTTTTTGTGGGGAGAGGAGAGTGGGTTTAGCTATATGGGTATGCACTGCCCAGAGAATGGTCACAGCTTATTTAATTTACCCATAAACATGTAGCCATTGCAGTCAGAAAGACACTTCACAGAGTCAAAGCCTCTCTTTCCTCTCCACAGCTCTCAGTGGTCGGTTCACAGCTTTACAAACCTGCCGTTTTCTTGTTGGTAAGGGCTCAGCGTTCTGCAGCGTAGAAATCCTTGTTTGGTTGGTGCTCGCCAACTCCACCATCAAAGAATGATGAAAATAAAGCAGGCTGATTCATAGACATAGAGAAATGTCATTTCTGTTGTAAACAGCATCTTTGATGGGCCAGCAAAATTAGTTTTTAGTGGCAAACCAGGGCAGTATTTCAGAGCATAACAGTGTTACTTGTTGCTCTTAATAGAGTAATAGTGCAGTAATAGCAACTGGTAGCAAACGCAATAGTGCTGTTGATAATCAGACAGTTTAAAAATATAACTGAGATAACACATATTGCAATAAAAGATATGCTTCTCAGACATCATAATATTTGCTTTTGATATTTTCCCGTCAGCTACCACCTAACAAACTCTGATTTCTTCATTGTAGTTGGTTACACTATGAATGATCTGATATTTGAGTGGCTAAGTGATGGACCTGTGCAAGTTGCAGAGGGTTTAACCTTGCCACAGTTTATTTTGAAAGAAGATAAAGAACTTGGTTATTGTACAAAACATTACAACACTGGTGAGCATTATTCTATTTTTTTTTTCTGTTAATTGCTCTAATGGTATCTATTGCCAATTTATAAAGGGAACAGATGGGTAAAATAAAAAAATATTCTGAAATTAAAATTTGATTCAGCCACACTTATTTTTAAATCTGAAAAAATGCAATTTTCTCCCTTATATTTTTGTTTTCTTGAAAGATTTTGTTTCCTAATTTCCTTTATACCATTAAAGATATTCTAGTATACATATTCTAATATCCTCAAAATCATTATCTTAACAAACTGATAAAAATATCTAGTAGTTTTCATTTCTGTAAAATGATCTTTTTTTAACAAACAATCTTTTCTTAAGTATTGATTCATCACTTCTAAAGTACTGATTTTTCTGAACTTGATTTTTTCCTCCAGCATATCAAATATGCAATGAGGAAAATTATGAAATATTCACCAGTTTTTACGTGTGGTCTAATTTATGAGACATTGTATTTGAACGGACAATACTTTCGCTGCTGATCTGCATAATGTACAGACATGAAATGTTGTGAAATCAAATGTTTGTTTAATACTCTAATGTTTTTTCTTGTATTTGTTGTTTTGAATTTTCAGACGCTATGTTTTCTATCTTTAGATTTACAAAGCAGAGAGAACTCTGTTAACATTTCAATTTAGATGCTTGGAGTTTATTTAATAGAGACAACATTTAGAGAACGGTTTGCTGGGTGCTTGCTGGGGTTAGATATAATCCCTCTCATCTAAAATAGCTTTTTCATCATTTCAGCGTAAGAGCCAATCTGGTTGCATCAAATACATTTGTTTCGTTCTGTAAAATAACACAACATGAGAGGATATGCTTCTGCCAAAAATAAAGTCACATTCATTTCTTATGAAAAGAAAATTATTGTTTTCAATTTTTATAAATGCAGCTTCTCATTTTGGGGCCCAAAGTGCCAAGGAAGGAAAACTTTGTGATTCTACAATTCAAGACCTGTAGAAAGGGGGACTGCTGTGACTTCTCATCTTTTCTCACACTTAAAGGGGGTACTTGAGAGTAAATTCCAACAGATGGAGCTTACCCATTTGTAATTTGGCTGATACAAAGTTTAGCCGTTTGCCACCATGTGACTCAAACTCTGAATAACTGAGTTCATCTGCTTTTCTAATTGCTGTCAGATAACCACTTTGCACGGTCAAACACTGAAAGTAAGAGAGGAAGGAGAACATGGGCAATAGCTTCCTTGTATACCCAGGAAAATTCTCCACAAAGGATAAAAATGCCAATTAGTAGCTCCCATTACATGTAGTTAAACAAAATAAATATGTAGTTACCAGAACTTAAAAGTGTGAAGCCTGGCAAGGAGAACTGAAAAGCAAAAGTACTCAAGCAAAAGAAAGCTTTGCCTACAGGCATCCACATTATTGTCTTCTCTGTAGCAAGCTCCTTCAGGTTTGGTATGAAATTAAAATGTGGATAAAAGCTGTATTATCCAGCCTTCTCCTGCCCACAGGAATCTGGAGAGCATTCAACGGGTTGGGCTGCTCTCGTGCCATTGCTGCCACACGTGTCCACCCCACCTCTTCGAGTCCCCTTCTGTACGGGCAGACTGGTCAGGATCGGTCACTGTCCAGGTCTCAGAGTCTGCCTTTGGGGTCTCAGGTCTGATCACTCATTGCAGAGCTTCTGTCCTGCCAAAAGATATTGTTCAGCTCTCCTCCCCTCCTCCCTTTGTCAAACAGCCTCGGCATTGTCCTTTGGGCCAACTCTCACACCTGCCGTTCAGTTTTCTAGGCTAGCAGAAAAATACGCATACATCATGAAAAGGAGCAAAAAATCTTCCCCTGAAAGGATGAATGAGGAACAATGCATCTTCATGCATTTGACCACCCAACACAAAAGGGGTCCTTTGGAGCCGTTAGCATGACACTTCAGGGATGACAGACTTTCTTGTACTCGGGTTAGTCTGCCTCAAGTGAGAGCTTTCACAGTACCTAAACCCCAGTAATTTGGAGAGCAGCACAGAGTGATTGGATCAGTAACCGACGAGCTGTTGCAAGTCAGGACTCTGCTGCACCGTCAGGCAATCCTAAACTTCTGCCCCTCACTACCTCTGCGGAGCAGCTCTCTGTTGTTTGAAGAATCACTCACCTCCCACAAGACATTGTTGTGGGTTCCCTGAAGTTAGTCTTTCAGCAAAATTCAAAGTAGGAGTTGAGTTGTTTCTGCTGCTAGACATAATCCACACACACAGGTATATGACAGGACCAGAATGAGAAGGGGTGTGATCTACCATAGGACTGGTAGTTACCCATTTGTCTCTTTAAGTATATTTGCTCAATCTCGTGTCATTAAAAGAGCAAAATGTTGTCCCCTTTTAATATTAAACATTATATTTGGCTGAAGTAACATCTCATTAAATTTTGATAAAAGAAACATTAAGTTATATTTTCTGGAGGTGAAAAAAAACTGTGCTAATATTAATTTTCTCAGTTAATGTGAAGAACCGGGCACAGTCTGCTTCAGGGGTCCCATGCGTCCCTCAAACTAGTGTGCAACAAATGGCTGACTTGTATTTGTGTATCAGGACCTGCTTGTGCTGTTAGGTTAGGAAACAGGCCACACATCTAACTTATTTTCAGAAAACAAGATTAAAATGTGCAAAAAGCATTTATGAAAGTAATTTCATGTTCTAGGAAAGTTTACATGCATTGAAGTCAAGTTTCATTTGGAGCGTCAGATGGGATACTATTTAATCCAGATGTACATTCCTAGCCTGCTGATTGTCATTTTGTCCTGGGTTTCTTTCTGGATCAACATGGATGCTGCTCCAGCTAGAGTCGCACTGGGTATCACTACAGTTTTGACAATGACCACGCAAAGCTCAGGATCGCGAGCTTCCCTCCCAAAAGTAAGGAAATTATTTTCTACCACTGATTTGTTATTAACAAGAAAAATTTGTACTACTTTTTGAAGTTTCTGAAAGATCTATGTAAATATGCATCTGATAAGGATACAGAAGAAAGCGGTAACAGTGTGATGTTAAACTGTTGCAGTACCCTTGCATTTGGATTAAGGCAGGGTTTTGCTGGTTTGCAGGATGACTGAAGAGTTCAACAGTATGGATTTTTAATGAGTTTCTGCTAGTTTTGACACTTAGTTTTCAGCACTTAGAAACTAGATTTTCTGAAGTATTTAAGTACCTGACTGGATTTCTGAAAGCACTTTCATGAAAATTGGCCATTCTGTCTGGCTGGGGACTTTATAAACTCTGTCTGGTCTTTTCTGGATTGTTAAACTCTCAAGTATCTTGGTGTTTCTAGAACGGCACCTAGTCCAATGGATATATAAATATACATTAAAAAAAATATGTATATATAAAATACATATATATAACATGTGGACACCTAGAAGGTTTCTCTGGAGAATCTTTCTAGTGAAGAACTGCTGATATCTTTGCTTCACAGCAGAATTTGTCCATATTCTTGTTCAAGTATCATCTGCAGACCTTCATCCTGTCTACTCACAAAAATATCCTCTCACTCAAATTTTGTGGTCTTTTTAATCCAGGCCAGATGCTGTAGATGGGCTTACAGGTTACAGACTGGATTCTTTGTTTAGTCAGGCTGACAGCTCTTTTCAGCACAGGCACAGCCTGAATGCTTCTGCTGATAGCATTCCCAGCAGAATTTTACGTGCATGCTCAGGTTTTGTACAATTTTCTGGAAGAGAGCTCAGAGGTAGGTCAGTTTACAGCAGACTAAGGAGTCACGGGATACGGTCCCTAAGGAGTCCTCTTTACAGTAGTCCAACATCACAGGGATTGGGATCATAGTAGCAATGAAAAGCACAAATTTAGAGTGTTTGTATAGATCATGATCCATTCCAAAAAGCATGTTGTATTTTGTTGTACTTTACCCTCAGTATCACATTTAGTCTCATTCCAAATACTGTAATTTGTTCAAGTGGAACATATATAGGGCAACTTCAAAAACTGCACAGATTGTATTACTCCTCTGTTGGTAATGAAAGTATCACTTATAAATCTGGTGACTACAGCAGTTGGTTCAGCTTCACTTCTTCAGTTGGAAATACATAATTCTCCATGCAAACTGAAAACTTTTCATATATTAACTCAGAATTTCAAATGGATAGTCTCTTAAATATTTGTTTAGACAATTCAGTCAATTTTACCAAGTGAACACTCTGAAAAGCAAGTCACCACGGAGATAATCTCAGCAGGAGGCATACAGGCTCTGCAGATAACAAGTTTGAAGTCATTGAAGACTGTGTCTAGATGGTACAACACTACCTCTTGTGATATATTCCAAGTTTCTTCCAAATTAACTGGCTTCAGAATTGGAGATGGTACAATCACTGTAGTGGAGATTTCCACCCACCTTTACAACTGGGCAAACATACCCTGCCAAGAACCTCTGCAGTACTAGCAGCTGCAATGTTTCTCCCTTTTGTTTTCTGCCTTGCTTGAGTAGAAAAGTATTTACTGGATAATTTTCTCGGCTTCTGCTGGGTGGAAGAAACAGGAAGATCTAGAATATGTTGACTGTGGCTATTTGATTATTTTAGAATCATAGAATCATAGAAAGGTTTGGGTTGGAAGGGAGCTTAAAGATCATCCAGTTCCAACCCCCCTACCATGGGCAGGAACACCTTCCACCAGACCAGGTTGCCCGAAGACCCATCCAACCTGGCCTTGAACACTTCCAGGGATGGGGCATCCACATCTTCTCTGGGCAACGTCTGCCACTGCCTCACCACCCTCACCGGGAAGAATTTCTTCCTAATCTCTCATCTAAATCTTCCCTCTTCCAGTTTAAAACCATTGTCCCTTGTCCTATCACTCCATGCCCTTGTCAAAAGTCCCTCCTCAGCTTTCTTGTTGGCCCTGTTAGGTACCAGAAGGCTGCTCTAAGGTCTCCCCGGAGCCTTCTCTTCTCCAGGCTGAACAACCCCAACTCTCTCAGCCTGTCCTCACAGCAGAGGTGCTCCAGCCCTCGGATTGTCATTGGAGAGATTCTTCTCCAGCCTCAGGATTAAATACATTTATCTCAGCAGCTGTCAGAGAACGGTGATGCTGTGGCCTTACTCCATCTTCTCCTTTTCTGCTCTGTCCCTTCGCCAGAAGATAGGCACTGAGGAAAAGTACCTCACCAGAAAGCCCATCACATTTATTTCAGTCAGGCTACACCTGGTTGTTGCAATTTCACTTTGTAATTCAGCTGAGCTGTACTTTACAGCCTTGGTCTCTATATAAGTGAGTTAATCTTCGTGGCGGTTTTTGAAGGTGCACCAGTTGACTTAAAAATGTGGTTCTAAGTAAATATTAGCACACCTGCCAGCTGACTCAGGTGCCTGAGGCAACACGGGACTGACCAAAAAGCAAGTGCTTCAAAAGGGGCTTTGTGTGCACAAGTAGCTGTGTAGCCATGTACAGCCACCATACAGGTCTCACTTCACCAGTATCTGATTCCTTACACAGAGGAGCAAGATTTTCTTACTGTTGCTGTTGCAAGCACCTCACTATTTTAAAACACCATCTGTAACTTAATATCAAAATTGTATCTCTTAATAAAATCTGTCCAGCTGAAATGCATTTAGAAATAAAAATATGAAAAGAATTGAATCAAATCGGTGCTAAATCTGAAGTCCCAAAATGGTTCTGTAAAAGTAATGGGTTTTTAAGTCCTGTCTACATATTGCCAAGACACGGGAAGTTAGATTGTCAATAAAACATCCATTTAAAAATTGCTCCAAGCATGAATATCTAACAGAATAAGACATGACAGGAGGGTTATTTTTGCAAGAGTACTGAAAAAACAGATGCAACTTTGCTTTGTGAAAGCAGCCTAGATTTGAATACAAGAGTTATACTTTTTCCCCATCTTTCTTTGTGTCCTGTTCTTATTAACACACACTTTACAACTTAACTTTACCCTTAATTTACCCACTCTCTCATGCCAAGAATTTATTCTCATTCTTCTCTATTTTAGTAGAGCTTTACCACAAAAAACAACAAAGCATCAAAACTTACCAACTTTAAAGGGAATAATTACTTTACCTAAAAAGGCAAAGAATTGTGATAAGATTCCCGCTTAGGTTTTTTTTGTCTGTTTCCAAGTTACCATCTAAATGATGAAAGTGTTACTGTTTAGAAGTAATTATCTACGTATTGTTCTCAACCCTGGTATAAGATTACATGACAGAGTTTTGTTTGTTTGTTTGCTTAAAACTGCTCTTTTCCATATTGATAACTAATATTCATTTTGATACACAGATTTCATCATGGTAGGTCACAGCAACACAGACATTAGGCATTCAGTTGATGAAAATTAAACATAAGGTTGAGACTGCTGAAAAAATAGGAAAGAAAAGGAAATGAAAGAAAGAAATTAATTCCAGCTGAGGCTCCTGTTTGCTGCACATGAAAGGAACATCTATAAAACCTCTTCCAAATGAGGTATAATTACATTTCTTTAGTAAATTTTGTAGCATTTCTGTGGAATTATTTTCTTCAGAGTATTTAGAAATTCTGACTAAGAGTATAGGATCAAATTCCAATATGAGCAACATAGTAATAAAGAAATCAATACGCAATTTTTTTCCTATTCTTCTACAAAGTTGATACCTCAGTTACAAAAGTTAAGACTAAACGGTGAGAGTTTACATCCCAACAAAGGTACTGTTCTAGGAAGGGAGACCTGCAGTGCCTGTTTCAGAAAGCAGAAAGGTTCTCTTCCTCTACAGTTTTAGCATAAGCTGAGCAATATTGCACCCTGCTTCCTTCATGGACATGAAGTAATGATTTTCTGTATAGGGAGAATCTGCAGAGAAATATTCACCATGGTGTCAACCTCTTTTATAGTGACGAAATTATTTTGTGTTTGTTACAGAAGATGAGTGAGGGGTCTTGTAATCGGAGTTACCCTTACTGGCTGTGTTAGGGGACAGTAAGGAACTCATCTGGAAAGCTGGGGTTGAATACCCTCCCTCCAGTTTGGTTAATCCATCGCTAGGATGTCCAGGAATGGCGATCCAAAATAGCAAGGTACCTATGATCTGTTCCCCTTCCCACACATTCATGTGCATAAATCTTACCCGCATCTGATACTCTTATGTCTGAACTCCTCTGGTGGTGTCATTGTTTCCCACTTAGAAACTTTGACTAGATAAATGTTTGTGCACCCAGCTACATCAGTAGCTCTTGCCAATCGTCCAGCTGAGCGGAAACCCTGGTTGTCAGCTGGATGATCGGCATGACCACACATCCACGATGAAACTCTCTCAGCTTTCTATGTGAGTCCTGTGCCTGAGCCAGGGACCTCCCTTGCACCTAGGGTTTGCTCTACTTTGTCTATGCAGAGAAACCCTATGGCACACAAATCTGATCTAACATACCGTACCTTCATGCAATACTCAGCACACGCTTACACCCAATGCCTTGTGGAAGTATCAGACCCACGGCACAAGACCGGCAGTATGTATTCATCAAAATATGGACTAAGGAAGGTTTGTGCATCATAAGGGACCCAGAGACATAGAATATGCCTTTACATATTTTACTGTCCCAGTTGTGTATAAGCTGGGGAAGTAAAGAGGAGGATATCAAGGTACGATAGCGCAGAATTGTTGAGAAGGGTTAGAAATCAGTTCTTTTCTTCAGAGCATTGAATGACCATTGCTATTATATTTATTTTTTAAAAGCTTCCTTTTTGTTGAATCAACAGAATCAAAAGTTTTAAAGCATTTTCAAAACAGGCATTTGAAAGAATAATGAGTTCTCTGCTGTGCTAATAATTGGATAATATTCAGATTGCTTTCTTCTTAAAACACTTCTATAAACCAAACCTTAGCAACAACTGTCCAAGAAAACAAATTACTTTTAATGCCATA